TACTGTACTGGGTAATGTATTTCTCCCAAATCGACTCAATTCAACAACCTGTGAATATTATATTTGTTATTAAAAATTAATACTTAATAAGAAACAATTATTACAGATAATTTTATTCAAAAGTAGATAATTTATAATATTTATTATATATATGTATATTACCATTTTATTTCGAAAAGAAATTTCTTTCAGTTTGTCTTCAAAAGAAAGTAGACTATCTTCATATTTTAATGGAAGTTGATTGTTAATAGACATTTGAAAAGCTTCTTCATCATTAGTCTTGGAAAATTCTTTATTGCCAATATTATTTGAGTACAAATAATCTTCATGCATTTTATCAAGTTTTTCAAATATTGACTTTATATCATATTTGATGTTAAGAATATTTCTATCAATTCTATTTAAAGTATCTATATATAAAACAATTTAAGATTTATAAATAATATTAACTTATTTTACAGTTTATAACAATAAAAATATATTTAAATTTACACAAAATTATCTGTGTATATTTAAATGTAAATTATTACTTTTAGACAGTTGTAAAAATTACATTTAAAAAGTATTTTATTTGAAAATAGTACATATTATGTACTGAAATACAGATGAAATTTTTATGCATATGAAATACTTTTATGAGAAAACATCTACATTGAGTGTGGAACCCCGGGACAACATTATTTCTTAGATAGCATTAACTAATAATTGTAATTAAATAAAAAAAAACCTAATGTTCTCAAACTGACAACTTTAATTGTATTTATGCTATCCAAATAATATAAACGTGACACAGATATAGTTTTTCCCTAAGCTTTGTGAAGTTTTGGTGATTCTACTACAAGCACAGACAAAGTAGTTGTCCCACACAAGACAGTTTTTGCTATAATATTGTACAAGAGTAAGACTGAGACAACACATGCGAGAGTAAAAACCCCTTATAATATTCAGCTTTATTAGGTATAATCTTTATAGTTTATTTATTTATTCCTATGGCTAGAGTTATAATGATAATATATTTTATGTGTATTACTTAATTGTATTAAGTCATATATATAGTGTCACATTTTATACTGGTAAGTGATAACTACTCTAAAATAGGCCATGAAAACTTGTAAAAAAAAAATGTAAACATAAAAATATGTACCCAAAAAAATAGAGCATGGCTTAAACTAATACTGACTGGATAACATTCTCACTTTTTTTATATTTAACATTATCACACAAATTTGAAATTAAAATTAAAATCTTATTTTGTTAAAATGTTATAGTTTTGTTATGTCAAAAAACACATTAATGCATAAATTAATGAATACAAAAGATCTATTTTACTGAATTAAAATAAGTGAACAACTAAAATTAACTTACTGCATATTGCATCAGGTTGCAATTGTGTACTTATAGGAGGGATTATATTGTTTTGAGTTGATGTTGTGAAGACATTTTCAATGTTATTAACCTTAAATGGAGATGATGCAGTCATAATTGTTGTTTCAAATTGAACAGATGTGTTTGAATCTAAAAGGACATTAGTGTATATAATATAATATAATTAGGAAATTAAAAATACATTCAATGTACACATAGTCGTGGAATTATAATATTATATGTACAGTGAAACATCTATATATATTAGTCTCGTAGGAAATCAAAATGTGTATTACAGCTAGAGAAATTTGTTAAATAGATTTATGGAAATTGAATTATGTATAGGTTATGGTTCTCAAAAATATTTCAATTAACAGAAAATCTTGTTTTGGAAGTGTTAATCTTGTTCACATTAATGATTCATTTAAAATTTACCAATACATTTTTCTAAAGATGTTGAAGGAGGACTTGGATACAACAGCTCGTTGTTGGTATCAAAAACCAGTTTTTTTCTAGCATTTTTAGTTTCAAATCCACTATTATTGAGTATACCATCATTTCTTTTTGTTAATCTACGCTCTAGAAATATTAATAAATAATACTTTCAGTTTAATAAGTTTAATATAAATAAATAATTAATATTAACTGTAATGTAATCACATTTGAATTTATTTATCTAATAAAATAAAAGTAATAGGTATATTATGTATATATCATTTATTTTATTAGTAGTAATATAGTAATAGTTATTAAAATAGAGTAAATTATATCAATCCACTGCGCATAACATTTTCATTACAAAGTATAATTCTACTTTGATAATTGATTAACTATATTTTTCATTTTAGTTATTTATGAGAAAAATTAATCTATAATACATTTTTAATGGTTGATAATTTATAATTAATTATTTTCAATAAGAATTAATAAGTGGTTTGGCCAGTTCGGGCCAATTCAAAGTAAATTTGTTGACAAAGTATTTAAAAAAAAAATTTATCTTTAAAATAGAGCAAATGAAACAGCACAGATTTTTTTTTCTTTGTTCAGGCATTTTGGTCATAATTATATCTTAATGATCTTAAGTTTTCATCAAAAATTAACAATCTATACTATATTCACCATAATATGAAGGGGTTTTATCATAGAACATAACAACTGTGATCTATGGTTTTGTTCAGTAACTGTCAAGTCCTATACATTTATTGTTTTATCTATTGTCACTTCAATCATCATTAGCCAATATACAGAATGATGTGCTCAATTATGCCGCTTGGGTGACTTTTCTCATTTTCAACATAGTGTAATAGAGGCAGAGTACTATGTTAGCAAACAAAACTATGTAATATATTTTTAAAAGATTAATTGAAAATATGGAAATAATTACCTACCTACATGATACACAACTACTTAAAGGCTTAAACAGAAAAATCTTATATAAAATAATCAGTATATAAACATAATAAAAAAAAAAAACAATATTTATTCAGAATTATTACCGAAGAAGTCAGTTGGATTAAAATGTGGATCTTTGTCAGAGTCATCCACTTCTTCATTATCATGATTGCTTATACTCTCTGCTGAAATTTATTTAAATTAATCAATTTTTATTAATATTTATCAATTATTAATATTATTATATTGTAATTTTCATTGATATCTACTATCAAAAAGTTCACTTACTTATAACACTATCACAAGAATCGGGACTCCAAGAGTTACATTTAGCTTCTTTAATATTTTTTTTTTGTTTTAAATTATTGCTACCTTTTGTCTCTAAATTTGATTCACATGCAGATGATAAGTTGGATGTAACTTGACCTCTTACAGCTTTTTTTCTTGCAGCAAGATAGTTATCTATAAAAGTTAAAATTTAATAGGTAGAATCATTATTATGAACATATGATAAATTACTTTTGAATATAATTACAATTGAACATATTTTATGGTTTGTTTTAATACATTTTAGTAAATAATGTTAAAATAAATATTTTATACCTACCCAAATCTTTACATAATTTGCGAGCAGACATGTAGGTAAAATCAACTTTATTAGGCAAAACCCTGTTTTTAATATGTTGGCTAACTTTAGCTTTTGGCCAAGCACAAGTATGATTCTTAAACCAAATAGATGGAACAACCTCTACAGCATTTTCCTCTTCAAAAACAACAACTGACCATAACTTGTTCATTATGTATATAAGATATATCTACAGTGTAAAAAATGTAAAATATATTTATGTGATTTATAATCATTTATATCTTATGTACCTAGTATATATAATGTATTGATTCTCATATGGTTTCTCTAATCAGATTACACATATATAAAATGGTATATCCAAATATTATTATTGAAATGACCATTTCTTTTTACTTGATAAGTATATAAACATAGAATAATAAAATAAAAAATACTAATACACTATTTTTAATAAAAAACAATTCTTTATTTGTGCAAAAACAAATTAGTTTACACTGCATAAGATCATGCACATATAATATTATTTTAGTTAAAAAATAGTATTGAGTAACCTGTGAAATACCTCTTATACATAATAAATAGGTAAAACATACAATGTTTATTTAAGGAATATTATTACTAGTTGAATGAATGAGTGGTATAGCTATTAATGCATTATTGGAGGGTATAAGAAACATTTTATTTTTTATTTCATTTAAAGGGTATTGAAAATATAGTGGGGATAATTTATTGTTAAATGTATAAATATTTAAAATAGTTGAACTAATCGGTTTATTATACAATGGATTAACATTTAAAAATTTTTTACAAATTAATATTATATAATCATCATGATTTTCATTATCAATTTTAATAATATTAAAAACTTTAATAATAGAATTGTCTTTAGTCAACAAATAAGAATCTGCATCAATATGGGTTTTAATGATAAATGTACTTAATTTTAATGCTTTAAATTGATGAGACTTCACATTAATATTGTCTAAAAGTGGACCTTTACTATGAGGCCCAGAACACAAATTATTTTCTTTTTTCAAATGATTATTTGAATGTAATGAATGTACTTCATTTAATCTTTTAATTACCTGCTCTAGTGGCTTATGTGGTTTTCTAAGTTTTTTTTTAAGGACGGACATAAAGTTTTCAAATGGATATGCAGAACATTTATCTAATGGACCAAACGAGTTATAGTCATCACTTATATGCAATAAGCCATGAATATTATGAGACATGAAATGACGTCCATACAGAATTTCAAATTGTTTGACAAAATTGTCTAATAATTTCTGTGCAGTGCCAATCAAATGAGAACAATTAGGACTCAATAATATTAAAAAAGATATACTTAAATTTAAAAAATGGTTCCATTGTGAATTAGACAAAATTGGTTTCAGTACTATAGGTCCAATATATAAGAGAAATGTCCGAAACTCTGTTGCTTTCCACCTACTAATTTGGTCAAATCCTCTAGGCTTTCTTGCTATTTCACTAGGAGTATTGACTTTAAGCCTTTCCAATAAAACAGATATTTCCTTAACTTTCCATGAAGGATATCTTACTCTAATAGGACCTTTTATCCATAATAATATTAATTTTTTTACTGTGCCTAAGCACACCAAATGCATATAATCTAAGGGAAATGATGTAATAATATTTAAATCAGGAATAGTATATAGCATTGAAATATTACCCACATGATGTTCCTCATTAGAAAATTAACATAATTATCATGTGTTCGTTTAGGTGGACGATTTGGTGGAGTTATATAAGGAAAACACACACGATTTAACCTATATTCCCCATCTTGTTCACACCTCGTACAAGAATAAAATCCGGAGTGACCCTTAATGTTAAGAAGAAAGGACTTGGCCGGCACGTCACATACAAATGTATTAAAAGAAACTTTGTAAAATGTATTATCAATATTTAAACCATTTTCAACCAATGCCTTGGCTTCTTCAATAAACTTATTTAAAAAAATGTTACTATTTCCAGGTTTTTCTTGGCCACAATAAATTCCTATAGGAAAAACTTTGTCACTATCAGGACGTAAATAAGCCAATATTGGCCAAAATTGTTTAGGACTACTTTTAAATAATGGCAACCCATCAACACCTACTATAATATCAATAAGACCACTGTCACTTGGAGATTTTTGAATATTTTGTAATATACCATTTGTAATCCCAAAATGATAGTATGTACCTGGTTCAACAATATGTAAACGAGAATGATCTATAGCTGGTATAGTATGCATTAATGTTCTTGAATCTTTTGGTAATGAATTGAAGCATTTATGACTTTTAAGTATACATAATAAACTATTAAGTGCAATTAAAGGAATGTTAAACTCTACTGCCCATTTCCTAATTAGTAATTTAAAATTTGATAATTCATCATAATCAGTACAACTTTCATTGGAGGAACAATCCCCGTTTGACTCAAAAATACTGGATGAACTTAAATTAAAATCTAACTGTAAATTAGAATTACTATTATTATAATTTATAGGATCTACATTATTTACATTCAAATAATCAGCTGATAATTCAGGTAAAGGATCACCGATTTGAGAAATATTAAAATTAGAATTGAGTTCTGGAATTATATCAAGCAATGACGAAGTATCAGAAGTAATAATAAAATTATTTTTAACTTCTTCCTGTATTCGTCTTCTAGTAGTTCTACTACTCAAGTTCGTTTTTTTTTCAAATGACATTCTTCTGAAATTTTAATTTAAATAAACAAATTAAGCTAGGAATTCGATCATTAAAAATATTTAAAAGAGACATTATTATAGGTACATTATAGAAAAAAATGTATACCCATATCAATATTAAAATATACTTATAATTTATTATAAGGATTATAAAATGTCTTTAAGACACAAATAAGGTTTGAAAAATGTCATTTGAATATTGGAATCACCTAACATTATAATAATATATATAACATTATGTACCTACAAGTCTAATATTAAATTATTTTGTCACTTACCAAATAAGGCAATTTCACAAGTATAATATAAGATATATTATAGGTAATGCTAGACTGATGACATATTAAACACGTAGTCTGCAAATAATTCAACTTTTTCGTATTAAGTAGAGTAGCTTAATACAGGTTAACACTCAGTAATACTACCAACAAATGGCTATCAACAGCCAAAGAGCCAAAGGTCAAAATATTCGGCTAACAAGCTCTAAAAAAAAACATTTAGGATTAGCAACTTCATATAGGCGCACAATACAAATTTGATACTATTTATGTTATAAAATGAAAAATCCATTTTAATTACCATTCAATTTATGTATAATTAACATTGGAGATTTAAAAAAAAAAATACCAATTAAATTGGTGAAAAATAAGAAGTAGGAAATAAATAATATAAATATAAGAAGTCCAGTTCACTTACCATACAAAACAATTACTCGAGTATAATATAGGATATATTATAGATAATGCTGGACTGATGATATACCAAACACACACGTAGTCTGCAAAGAATTCAACTTTTTCGTCTTCACTGACCAGTTTAATACTGGTTAACACTCAGTTATACTACCAACAATTGGCTAGCAGCAGCTAAACACCCAAACAGCATCAAAATATGCGCAAACAAGCTCTAAAAAAAAACATTTAAAATTAGCAACTTTAAATAGGTGCACAATACAAATTGAATACTTATATCATAAAATGAAGAATCAATTTTACGTATAATTAACAATTGACATTTAAAAAAAAAAAATACCAATTAAATTGGTGAAAAATAAGAAGTAGGAAATAAATAATATAAATATAAGAAGTCTAGTTCACTTACCATACAAAACAATTACTCGAGTATAATATAGGATATATTATAGATAATGCTGGACTGATGATAAATTAAACACGCACGTGGTCTGCAAACAATTTAACTTTTTCGTCTTCAGTGACCAGTTTAATACTGGTTAACACTCAGTAATACTACCAACAATTTGCTAGCAGCAGCTAAACACCCAAACAGCATCAAAATATGCGCAAAAAAGCTCTAAAAAAAAACATTTAAAATTAGCAACTTTAAATAGGTGCACAATACAAATTGAATACTTATATCATAAAATGAAGAATCAATTTTACGTATAATTAACAATTGACATTTAAAAAAAAAAAATACCAATTAAATTGGTGAAAAATAAGAAGTAGGAAATAAATAATAATATAAATATAAGAAGTCCAGTTCACTTACCATACAAAACAATTACTCGAGTATAATATAGGATATATTATAGATAATGCTGGACTGATGATAAATTAAACACGCACGTGGTCTGCAAACAATTCAACTTTTTCGTCTTCAGTGACCAGTTTAATACTGGTTAACACTCAGTTATACTACCAACAATTGGCTAGCAGCAGCTAAACAACCAAACAGCATCAAAATATGCGCAAACAAGCTCTAAAAAAAAACATTTAAAATTAGCAACTTTAAATAGGTGCACAATACAAATTGAATACTTATATCATAAAATGAAGAATCAATTTTACGTATAATTAACAATTGACATTTAAAAAAAAAAATACCAATTAAATTGGTGAAAAATAAGAAGTATTAAATAAATAATATAAATATAAGAAGTCCAGTTCACTTACCATACAAAACAATTACTCGAGTATAATATAGGATATATTATAGATAATGCTGGACTGATGATATACCAAACACACACGTAGTCTGCAAAGAATTCAACTTTTTCGTCTTCACTGACCAGTTTAATACTGGTTAACACTCAGTTATACTACCAACAATTGGCTAGCAGCAGCTAAACACCCAAACAGCATCAAAATATGCGCAAACAAGCTCTAAATAAAAACATTTAAAATTAGCAACTTTAAATAGGTGCACAATACAAATTGAATACTTATATCATAAAATGAAGAATCAATTTTACGTATAATTAACAATTGACATTTAAAAAAAAAAAATACCAATTAAATTGGTGAAAAATAAGAAGTAGGAAATAAATAATATAAATATAAGAAGTCCAGTTCACTTACCATACAAAACAATTACTCGAGTATAATATAGGATATATTATAGATAATGCTGGACTGATGATAAATTAAACACGCACGTGGTCTGCAAACAATTTAACTTTTTCGTCTTCAGTGACCAGTTTAATACTGGTTAACACTCAGTAATACTACCAACAATTTGCTAGCAGCAGCTAAACACCCAAACAGCATCAAAATATGCGCAAAAAAGCTCTAAAAAAAAACATTTAAAATTAGCAACTTTAAATAGGTGCACAATACAAATTGAATACTTATATCATAAAATGAAGAATCAATTTTACGTATAATTAACAATTGACATTTAAAAAAAAAAAATACCAATTAAATTGGTGAAAAATAAGAAGTAGGAAATAAATAATAATATAAATATAAGAAGTCCAGTTCACTTACCATACAAAACAATTACTCGAGAATAATATAGGATATATTATAGATAATGCTGGACTGATGATAAATTAAACACGCACGTGGTCTGCAAACAATTCAACTTTTTCGTCTTCAGTGACCAGTTTAATACTGGTTAACACTCAGTAATACTACCAACAATTTGCTAGCAGCAGCTAAACACCCAAACAGCATCAAAATATGCGCAAAAAAGCTCTAAAAAAAAACATTTAAAATTAGCAACTTTAAATAGGTGCACAATACAAATTGAATACTTATATCATAAAATGAAGAATCAATTTTACGTATAATTAACAATTGACATTTAAAAAAAAAAATACCAATTAAATTGGTGAAAAATAAGAAGTAGGAAATAAATAATATAAATATAAGAAGTCCAGTTCACTTACCATACAAAACAATTACTCGAGTATAATATAGGATATATTATAGATAATGCTGGACTGATGATATATCAAACACGCACGTGGTCTGCAAACAATTCAACTTTTTCGTCTTCAGTGACCAGTTTAATACTGGTTAACACTCAGTAATACTACCAACAATTTGCTAGCAGCAGCTAAACACCCAAACAGCATCAAAATATGCGCAAAAAAGCTCTAAAAAAAACATTTTAAATTAGCAACATTAAATAGGTGCACAATACAAATTTAATACTTATATTATAAAATGAAACACACTTACCAAACAAAACAATTACTCGAGTATAATTATATATTATAGGTCTGCAGACAGTAATAATTAGGACGCAATTGCACCACACACGTCGTCTAATGGAAATGATTCTGAAATATCAACTGTCAAAACCGTAAAAGTCGTGTATACATTATACAAGGATACGCGGGTATTGCCAAATACACTAAAATAAAAATAAAATTTCCAGTATAACAACTGTAACGAGCGACTATAATAACCTATAACAACGATAAGAAGTGCGTGACACAAGTACCTACTAACTATTTGTTACATAATAATAATATAATATTGTAATATCTTAAAAATATTATTTAGGCTATTTTTATAGAACGCACCGTCGCACCGAGAAGTCGCACAGTCGAGAACACGGTTATCCACGGACCACGGTTATCCACATGTAGATAACCGTGGTCGCGAAACATTCATATTTCATAATGATAATATTAAGTCATAATACCACGATTAAAGATATCTTTAATCGTGCATAATACTCGTCAACAGTCGCCAATCAGTAACATACCTAATCACATAATACGTAAATACGGGCATCAAGTACTATCATCCCTGTAAATACGTAAACACAGAAATACTGAGTTAAGTATTATAGACGTATGGTTTACTACCTATACTTTTACATTAAATTTAATGTAGCTTGAGCGCTGGCTAGTGGCTGACGGCTGTCGCCTGTCCGTAGTCCATACTATTGTGGTCTATGATAGTTAATAGACCTATGAAAGTATAAATTAATGGACAGCGCATTCCACTCTGTGTTGCCATCAATGCTGTATAGCCGTATAGGCCATCATATATAACCATATAGCTGAGAGAGAAAGAATATAAAGTAGTGTAGTGAATGAGCAATAAGGAACCGTATATTAAAGTTTACTACTTTGTTTCTTTTCTCGATCACTCTACATAGTACTCCTGACTTCTCCTCACGACCATTTGTTTCTAATTAGATGAATGTACCTACTTTGTTAATTTTCAAAAGTATGTTTTGTTAGTAGATTAGTAGATATTATAGTCATAATAATAGCAGCGACTGATGTAAGAAGATAAGATTTTGGTGGTGATTGTTTATTTTTACAACACTATTATAAATATTTTTATTAAAAAGATCTAAACATGGTTTTGAACAAGTCTTACTCAATATACACGTCTCACTCCAGCAGGAGTACCTATTATAAAAATAGAAAATATGGTATTTATTAAAATGTAGGTACCAGCTATACCTACTACGAATCAAAATATATAATTATATAATCAGCTATCTTATATAAGGTATACCTATATCTTAATTTGTTGTACGTACCTACCATATTATAATAATATATATATATAATATATAGTTGTTGATAGATAGTATATATATATTATTTTATATTTTGTCAAGTTTTGAATGGTCCATTTAACTAAAAAATAACGGCTTACAAACTCTATCCCACCTAAATATAACTATAAATATAATTTCCATTCTACGAAGTTTTGTATTATTTTATTATCATATTTAAAATTCCTCAATTTGTTTATGGTGAATGTTGACCAAAACAAGCCATGGGTTATGGGTGGCTAAATTATAGCTAAATTATATATGTGGTTAATATTAATTAGTATATATTTTTAAATTAAATATAATATGACTTAATTACTTACAATAATTGCGACACTATAATTGGTAAGTTACAAAGTTATATATTATTATATACAATATATGATAGTTGATATTTACATATTGTTGAACATTTCAAATGTATTTCCATATATAATATATATGAGTCAAGGCATTAATATATAATTATAAAAATGTCAAGAATCTATTAAACACATTTTCTATACTTATTTATGCCACTATATTTTTGTTTTTAGTATCATAGTATCTTGCAGACAATATTTATATGAATTATAGTCTTTAAGTTCGTTTAAGTTAAAAATATAACTGTATTTATTACATATTATCTTAGCTTACTAACTAAAGTTGTTAACTTAACACCTGATGCTAAACTGGCACTACAGTACCTATAGCGGCTAGCACTCGACACTAGGTATAAGTAATCTGTAATACTAGTTGATTCGAGGATTACTGAAAATAATAAAACCTGACCTATATATGTATAATGTATGTATTATGTGAGTTCAAGAAATTTTATAGTTTTTACATTAATATATATATGGATAATAATTATAATTATTCAAAAAATTAAAATAGAATAAATTAAAAAAAAAATTACAGTTTATAATTTATATATATAAAGTTAAACGGTTAAACAGAAAACAAAAATTTAAATGGGTATATAATGCTTACAAATTTAATAATGTTAAATTATATAAAAATCAAATAGAGTTTGGACGTACTGCAATAACACTAAACATTACAATTTATTATATCACATTTAAACACCTAAAAATGTAAAAATAATAGTTTTTTACCCATTAATTAGGTAAAATATTCGTATACCTATATGGCTATATCGAATATTATTTATATATATAATAATATATAGTTGTGTTTGAGTGTTCATAATTAACGTATAAATTGTATGGTATCACTTAAATAATGATTCAATAAATAAATTATCGCCTATATTAAAAATTTTAATTTTTTTTTCCAACTTTTAAATAAATTAATAATATAATAGCTTTGAATCATTTTTTGATTATACCTTTTGGGTCGTTCCATAATTATTTAGATTTTAATAATATAATGATCATATTTTATGAATATTATTCTACATTTTCATTAATGTTGTCATATGATTAACATATTTAGAATATTACTATATTATTTCATTAATGATTTCATACTATCAATATATTAAAAATATCATTTAAACAATTCATATTTAATAGCATAATGATGATAAATTCCGAATATTATTTTATTATTTCGTTTTTGATGTCTTATTATTAATATATTAAAAATATAATTTAAACAATTCATAATTAATAGTATATTGATGATACACTCCGAATATTATTTTATTATTTCGATTTTGAAGTCATATTATTGATTCTTTCATAATATTATTTCACAAAATAATTATTTGATAACTTATTGATGTTTATCTTAAAACATTATTTTTATAATGAAGATATGATATCAATAAGATATCATCATTACGAAAATGCTATCTGGGAAGTGCATTCGTATACGATTCATATCTGTCGTCGTTTTACTCGATCGCTGCACAGTAAATCTATTTTGCCGGCAAAGATCACCCAAAATTGAGTGTCAAATTCAAGTGCTCACATAGCAGAACTCACTCTTATACGGATTTCAGCTTACCGAGGATTTTTATTACCGAAAACGTATACTTTCGTGATAAATAAAATTGCATCATCGCTAGTGAACTCACCAATACACTATAATTAACAGCCATCTCTTGAAATAGTAAAGTACTATTTTGTATATAATAATTACGATACATTTATAAACCAAACGTGAATTATTATTGATACAAACCTCATACACGGATGCTCTAACCCCCCAGCTACGAAAAACTTATCCATAAGAAATAGAAAACCTTCTCTGGATGACTGGATATCTAACTATAATATCATAACAATAGATACTCATAACCACGTTGTACTATGTGATGGGAAAAAAAAGGTAGATGCAAAAAAATGATGTAGGTTTTGTTCCTTTTATTTAAACAGTTCAACAAAAAAACATAACTGTCTCGGCGACATAACCCGACTAGGCCTGACATGCAATAATTCACATTTTTCTAAATTGGAGGTTAGTTTTTAAATGTGATAAGTGCAGTGGACTGTATTTTAAATTGATTACATGATAATGATAACATTCTTGCTAAACATACCGGCCCCCTTGAGAGGTATTCTCAAAAGGAAGTGGAATAAATAAATAAATAATTTAAACATTTGTAAAAATGGCATAATGGGTAAGTTACAGATAGATTTCAACAGAGTATAAACTATAGTATCATAACAATATAAAATTCACATAAGGTGACACAAAATTTCTTGATTAATAACAAAACAAATAATTGAATAATTGAATTAATTGGCTTTAACCAGTTAACTAATGTTCGATAGGCAGTCTTATGAGTTTATTAATAGGACGCTTTAGCACCGAATCCTTTGTCTTCAGTGTGACAACTCGCACGAAGTGGTCTGCAGGATTGGGGTGCACCTCGAGGATTCTGGCTAGGGGCCACTGAGTGGGAGCCATATTTTCTTTCTTGAGGAGAACGAGATCGTGGACTTGGAGGTTAGGCTGGGGAGTGGTCCATTTATTCCGTTGCTGTAGTGTATCCAAATAATCTTGCGACCATTGTTTCCAGAAGGACTGCTGCAGTTTCTGGATTCTATTCCACCTGGTGAGTCGATTGGTGGGTGTTGGCTCAGGAATGTCGACTTCAGGTAATGACATAGGAGCTTTACCTAACAGGAAGTGCCCGGGAGTCAGTGCTGAGTAATCGGTGGCTTCCATACTGGCGGGGCAAAGTGGTCGAGAGTTAAGTTGCGCTTCGACTTGACAAAACAATGTGTGTAATTCTTCATATATAAAGACACTATTTAGAGTTATGCGTTGGAGTATGCGTTTACAAGATTTGATGTTAGCTTCCCAAATACCACCAAAATGTGGCGAAGCTGGTGGGATAAAGTGCCAGTCTATCTCTCTGGGCAAACAGAAAGTATTCAGGGCTGAGTTCAATTGTTGAGAGCACAGCAATTTATACACTTCATGTAGTTTATGATGTGTACTAGTAAAATTCGTACCATTATCACTGTACATTTTAGTTGGATAGCCTCGTCTGGCAACAAAACGTTTCAGTGTGGCGATGAAGGTATCGGCTGACAAGTCACTCACTATTTCTAGGTGTACAGCCTTGGTGGTCAGGCAAATGAAGAGAGCTAAATATGTTTTGTACACAATTCTTGAACGTCCAACTGAGGGCTTAGTACTGAAAGGTCCGGCAAAATCAACTCCACAATGGCTGAACACTGGTGCGTAATTAACTCTAAAAGCCGGTAAGTCAGCCATGAGTTGGTGGGTTTTGACTTGTCGAAATCTGTAACACTTAACACAATCATGAAGAACCTTTCTGATGATGCTGCGCCCATGTACAACCCAATACTTCTGCCGCACCAGAGACATAGTGACATTGAGACCAGCATGCTGGTGCAGAAGGTGGATGGAGCGTACTACCATAGTTGTATACAGATGTGCCTTTGGTAAAAGAACTGGATGCCTCATGTCATAAGGTAAACTAGACTGAGTGAGTCGACCACCAACGCGTAAGACCCCTGCTATGTCAAGGAAGGGGTTTAGGCTGACCAGAGTACTGGATGACTTGACTGGGAGACCCAGTCGCAGCTGATGAAGGTCGAGTGGAAAGCATTCCTGTTGTACTAACCGGATCCATTTTAAGTTGGCTGATCGCCATTCACACACAGTTGGTAATCCAGTTAGACGAAGAGCTACAGGTTTTTGGCAGTTGTGATAGAAACGTAAAATGTAACAAGTGACATGCAATAACTTACTCAAATCCGAGTACTTAGCTAGCAAGTTGGAGTTAAACGCGTCAGCTTCTGTGGTCACATGTGTAGTTACCTGTGGCTTACGTTCCTCTTGGAGAGTTTGATTTGGATCCTCACATTCAAACGTAGACTGTGGCCATGGATTGGGGGGTAATAGCCATTGTGGACCATGCCACCACAAGGCATTTGTAAGAAGTTGATCACCTGACAGGCCCCTGGAGGCCAGGTCCGCAGGATTGTCCTGAGACGGGACATGCCGCCACACCGCTGAGGGACACCAGGTTTGAATTTGACTCACTCGATTGGATACAAAGGTAGTCCACCGGTGTGGATCACTCTGAATCCACTGTAGAGTGATTGTAGAATCCGTCCACAAGTGGACTGATTCTATGTTGATTGTAGACAGTGCCTCTAATAGGTGTTTGGTCAAGGATGCTAACAACGTGGCACCACACAACTCAAGCCTGGGTATTGATTGGGTCTTAAGAGGTGCAACTCTGGTCTTAGACAGAACTAAATGTGATGATGATTTACCGTCAGGAAACACTGACACTAGGTAGAGAGCAGCAGCATAAGCTTGTTCCGAACTGTCACTGTAACCGTGTAGACTATATGTGGTTACCTGAGTGTGTTCGTCATTGCAATGCCGTGGTAATTCAAAGAAGCGAAGAGCACCGTAGGAAGATCGATGATCCGACCACCATTTGATCAGTGTGTCAGGCAGCGGGTCGTCCCAATCCAACTTGTTCTTCCACAGGTGTTGCATAATGATCTTCGCAACGATCACAAGTGGGCTTAACCATCCACACGGATCAAAAATCCTCGCGATTTCCGAAAGTAATGAGCGTTTAGTACATGTTTCACCAACCTTGGAAGATTCAACATGAAATGAGAACGTATCGCGTTGAGCATTCCATGATATACCCAATATTTTGATTGACGGATCCATGTGGTCGATCAGCGTTAGTTGAGTGGCTCTTAGTGCTGTCGGAATGTGCGTTAAAACTGCTTCACAGTTGGTGGCCCACTTACGTAGTTCAAACCCACCTCGGGCGAGCAAGTGTAGTAGCTCCTGGTGTAGCTTGATTGTGGCAGTAATGTCATCTCGTCCGGTCATTACCTCATCCACATAGAAATCTCGCTGTAGCACCGCAGCTGCCTCAGGATGAGTCCCTTGCTCGTCGTAGGCCAATTGCTTCAGGACTCGTAAAGCATGGTATGGTGATGTGATAAGCCCATACGTCACCGTATTTAAGGTATAACTTCTTATTGGACTAGATTCATTTGGACGCCAGACAATACCTTGGTAGACACGATCGTCGGGGTGTACTAAGATTTGTCGGAACATTTGTCGAATGTCTGCGGTAATAACATAGCGAGGTAGACGGAAACGGATTAATATGTCAATTACCTCTTTCTGTAATTTTTGTCCTTTGTGAAGTAGTTCATTCAATGAGTTTCCTGTGTCCATGGTGCATGAACCATCAAACACAACACGAAGCTTCGTAGTAGTACTGGATGGGTTTAAAACTTGATGATGTGGAATGAATATAATCGGACTTGGACTAGTGGACTCTACTAATGTCATGTGATGGGCTGTTACATAATCACTCATAAAATCTTTGTAGAGTTGGTGTAAGGCAGGTTTGGTCTGCAGACTTCTCTCAACTTTCTTTAAGCGTTGAACAGCGAGCTGGTAAGAATTGTTCACTAGCGGTGGTTCTTTTACAAAAGGAAGTCTGACAGTGTAACGACCAGAGCTGTCTCGCGTAAATGTCTCAACAAAATGCTTTTCACACTGTTGGTCTTCTTTGGACATACATGTGAGGCGTGGTACCTCTTCCAGTTCCCAAAATCGGTTCACAAGTGATTCAACTGTCGTGGTACAACACGTGACCGACTTAAACATTGATAGTTCATTGTGGGGTTTAGATAATTTTCCACATACTATCCACCCAAAGATAGAGTTGTGTAGCGACGGCGTACCTTTGGGTCCTTGTATTTTACCATCGAGCATTATATCCAGACTGTATTCAGCACTTATGAGTAAGTCGATTTTGTTGGGCACATGGAATGTTGGATCGGCTAACTCAACCTGCTCTAAATGAGTCCACTGTGAAACATCCACGGCTGCAGTGGGTAGATCCACAGTTATCTTAGGAGACACTAAGGCAGTTAACGTCATTTGTTTGCCATTTGTCCTAGGAGAAATATTGAACGTGGAAACTTGAGATGTGGTTGTAGAAGCATTTGATACACCATCAATTATCATTGGCTGATGCAATGTTTTTAAACCTAACCGACTTGCTAAGGCTTTAGTAATGAAATGTGATTCAGATGCAGTGTCTATTAATGCACGGCATAGTTCTGACCGTCCACTTGGTCCGTACACGCGCACCACTGCTGTTGATAATATGACCGTTGACTTTTCTCTTAAGGCACCATGATTAACTGCCACAGTGTCTATTCCACTAGATGTCGATGGTTGTGTCTTGAGAGTCAACGTGGGCACTTCAGAAGTATTGTTTTCTCCCTTAGAGTCACCAAAATGTAAAAGTGTATGATGTTTACCACCACATTCTTTACATGTTTTATCAGATGAGCATTGACTGGAAGAATGTGAGGCCCGTAGACAATTTATACACAATTTGGCCTTCTTAGCCAATGCATGTCGCTCACTCGCTGTTGACTTCATAAATAAATTACACTGATAAATAATATGATGCTGTGAACAAATATTGCACGGCTGCTTATTACCTTGTGCTGCAGTCACAGCATGAGTTGTTGCTCGACTGTTGCACTTGTTGGTAAGCTTAGATCTGGGTGTACTGGATGATTGCAGTTGTAATAAATCTAACACGTGTATTCTTTTCTCCATAAATTTACACATTTGTAACCAAGATGGAGACTCATAGGCAGATGATTCAATTTCCCATGCTTTTCTGAGTTCACTTGGTAAACGGGATGATATAAGGTAAATTATAATTGTATCCCAAGACTCAGTGGGTTGTTTTAATACTTTTAATGCTCTAAGATGTTTATTTGTTGTATCAACCAATGCCTTCAAGGAGCTAACAGCTTCACTCTGAATGTGTGGTTGATTGAACAAATGTTGTAAGTGTACTTGTAGAACAAGACGTTCATTATCATAACGGTTTGTCAACAAAGACCAAGCCTCCAGATAATTGTTACCAGTCGATGATAATGATGCAATTACATTAGCCGCTTCTCCTGATAAACATGATTTTAAATAGTGCATTTTTCTGGTGTTGTCAATGTATTTATTAACGTGAATAACAGATGAAAATTGGTCGTGGAAAGCATACCAATCTTCCAATTTTCCTGTGAATGTAGGCAGGTTCATGGGAGGTAATCTGATGGATTGTTGCCCTTGTTCGCTAAGTGCATTTTCGTTTTGAGGTTCGTGTGTAGTTTGCCTTAAGTCTAATGTACTTTGCAAAATCCCCTTGATTTTAATGAACGTCCGAGATACCTCTTCCAAGGCGTCAATCATTAACTCAACCTCAGAGTCCTCGACCAACAAGGACAGCTCATCGTGTGCATTTGCATACGTTGTAAACGCACTTTCTGCAAGTTCTAAATGCACTTTTATTTCGTGACTCGCCAGTCCCTCCATTGTCAATGTGGTGACTATGTGTAACTTTTTCCTTATCAGCTTTTCCTTGTTTGAGAGAGTTTTTCGTAAAGTTGTCAACTTCTCCTCCATCTTGAATCAATTAGGTAAGTCAATACAAAATAGACGGAAAGCCGATTACGCGATTGTACAACGCACGACACAGACGGAAACGCGCATGTAACGCGTACGAAACCGACGACCGATGTATACGCGAATGTAACGCGCACGACACTTAGAATATGACCGTCGGACACGCGAATGTAACGCGCACGACAATTAGAATATGACCGTCGGACACGCGAATGTAACGCGTACGAAACCGACGAACGATGTATACGCGAATGTAACGCGCACAAATCTCGAATTCATATCCTGCTCGAATTGACCAATAAATGGTGGGAAAAAAAAGGTAGATGCAAAAAAATGATGTAGGTTTTGTTCCTTTTATTTAAACAGTTCAACAAAAAAACATAACTGTCTCGGCGACATAACCCGACTAGGCCTGACATGCAATAATTCACATTTTTCTAAATTGGAGGTTAGTTTTTAAATGTGATAAGTGCAGTGGACTGTATTTTAAATTGATTACATGATAATGATAACATTCTTGCTAAACACTATGTTTATTATCTATATTCAGATCCGTTCGAAATATTTGACGTAGTGTATCTATTACCTATTGGCTATTGTAACGTGGTATTCATATCAAATTTAATTCTAAATGTTCAAACAGAAATACTTGATATTTAAATCAGGGACTGGAACCTCACCGAAAAGAACCGGTTTTGGAACCCTTTGAATAATTTTGAACCGAAACTTCACACAAACCCTTATTTAAATTAATTTTAATACCGGAACCTCACCGGAACCCATATTTAAATTAATTTAAAAACCTGAACCTTATAACGGAACCGACACTTTTACTTGACAATTTTTTTTACATAAGTAAGAAACCAAATCTGGTAACATTTATTTTATTTTTAATAACTGAAAAAAAAAATCGAAACAAATGTTGGTTTTTCTGAGAACCGAATAGGAACCGAAACTGAAATTTTAGTTATACTTTGAACCGAGTAATAATTGGAACCATAAAAATCATCAATGTTAAAGTCCCTGATTTAAATAACACAATTTACTCATCGGCATAGGCGCAATTTCAACTTTTGATTTGGAGGGGCTTAGCCCCCTCCCCCAAAGGCCCCCCCATTTAACCAAAAATTTAAGTATTCAAATTATACGCACCATAGTCTTAAATATTTTCAAACATCAATACTGCAATAATAACAACACCGACTATCGAATCTATAAGCAATAGGTAATGCATTCAATCAATAATTATAGATATTTTTGTGTGTGTTATGTAGAGCCAAGCTGACGTATAATAAATAATAAACTGATTTGATTATTTTACAAAAGGATTAACTGCCATAATATGCCTGTATAAGTTCTTATGATGCCATTAACAAGATTCTCACATCAGAGGAAAGGTTTACAATTATATAAATTACAACGATAACAATTAGATAAACATTTTCTTGCACAAATCAATATAATTATAATATTTAATCTATCAATTTATAATTTTTTTTGTTTATGTTAGTCTATATTTTACTTATCAATCTAAGTATAGTATTTGTGGAATGATAAAAATAATTTTACGACATCATGATATTCATAATAATTTATACCTGCCTACGTCCTACATATAAAAGAATTGCAGGCCTGCTATAAGAAAAATAAAGAATATTATGTGAAATAGTTTAACAAAATTAAAATCACCATTCAAATTTAAAACAATGGTATTATATGAAGTATAATGTTTTATTTAAATCTATGTAACGGGCTGTGACTACGTACATATTATAATAGTAATAATATATAAAATAATATATTATATTATGCTGTATTAAGTATAATACGCTTATAATATAATATATTATATTCAATAATAGATATAAATGCTGCAGAGGGCACGTAACCCAATAATAGTAATAATATATAAACGTCCGGGCGGCCGATAAGAGTATAGAACGCGCACATTATCCATATTCTAGGAAATACGAAAAAGCCGTAAATAACAAAAATAGATAACTTTGAAAACATATAATCCCAATTAACATTATTTCGTAGAGGACGCCAAAATGACGTCAGGTATACGCAGCTATGTACCATTTTTTATACTAAAAATGCCATAGGAGGGATCTAATAGGAAAACCGACGAAATACGTCGATGGACAAGTGTCCATCAGACGAACACCAGCCAAGACGACGAGCACTAACAGAACAGCCACAAAGTCAATACTAAGTCACAACCCGTTTACCACAATTTTATAATTTAATTATTGGACTTAGAATATTTTTCGTGTTAAATAAATACAAATAAACTATCATTATACCATCAACTTGTCATTTTAATTCAAAATACCATCAATATTGAGTTGAAGTGGTTGGCACGTTACATCTACATTAGTTTTGACTTTTGACAAAACCTACTGCAGCCCCCTTAAATCACAACGGATTAAAATGCATTGTTGTAGAAACGTTAAGCTAATTATATAATGTGAGTAATGAGATTGGTGATACGTTTTCCTGTGTTTCTGCCTAATCTTCAGAACAGAAATATGATGAACATGGCCAAATAAGCATACAGAGAAACGGGAATTTCCTATAGACCTTACTCCGTTTTGGGAAATGGGGCACTTTTTCATATTTTTACGGAAAAACCCAACCTAACCTTGATGGTAGAATGTATGGATATAAGGAGTATGAATCATAGTACCAATGAAACCTACACGGTTACACGAGCATATAATCGTAATAATTTATTGATATTATACAATAGGAGTAAGAAAAGCCAAATATCATATATTATCAAATATTAAGAACTACCACATTACAGACTACGAGAAGATATTGTAGGAGATATTTTTCTAAAAAAAGTCTGATAGATCTATTAATTGATACGTAGCTCAATATTATACTTTTACAGAAATAGAAGATGACTTATCGGCCATCAGAGGTTGCGCTAACACCGACAATAAAGGATTACCGGCAGGTAGTGCTTACTGCAGCTGTTAAGGATATCGTGATATCTTATAGAATAAGATCTAAGAGTTTTAAAAACATCTGCTCCTGAATTAAATATTTATTTTAAAATTTCAAATAAATTAATGATTTTATTATTAACTGCTTGTATTATATATATTAAGCATAATAATATTAATCTCTACTTTATGTTTAAACTGTAATACAACAAATACTGGCTTTAAAATATTTTGATGATGTTAATACATTCTAATTGATCACAAACAGAAAAGCATAGTAACCAAATAATCGTATGAAAAACTATTACATTTGAAATAAACTATTTACTAATAGAAGCGACGAACGACAGATAATCGGACAGATGGAGAAGAACTCTTACCCTTCCGATGTCTGTGACAAGTCATTCAGCCCAAGTACCAGTTTAACGAAACATCGACGCACACATACTGGCGAAAAACCGTACGCATGCGATGTATGTGACAAATCCTTCAGCCAAATTACCAGTTTAACGAATCATCAACGTACACACACAGGTGACAAACCCTACGCATGCGATGTATGTGACAAGTCTTTCAGTCAAAATACCCATTTGACAAAACATCGACGCACACATACTGGAGAAAAACCGTACGCATGCGATGTATGTGACAAATCCTTCAGCCAAAGTATCAATTTAACGAATCATCAACGTACACACACAGGTGACAAACCCTACGCATGCGATGTATGTGACAAGTCGTTCGCTGTAAATTGTAATTTAACGAAACATCAACGTACGCACACTGGTGACAAACCCTACGCATGCGATGTATGTGACAAATCCTTCAGTCAAAGTACCAGTTTAACGAAACATCGACGCACACATACTGGCGAAAAACCGTACGCATGCGATGTATGTGACAAATCCTTCAGCCAAATTACCAGTTTAACGAATCATCAACGTACACACACAGGTGACAAACCCTACGCATGCGATGTATGTGACAAATCCTTCAGCCAAATTACCAGTTTAACGAATCATCAACGTACACACACAGGTGACAAACCCTACGCATGCGATGTATGTGACAAGTCTTTCAGTCAAAATACCAATTTAACGAAACATCGACACACACATACTGGAGAAAAACCCTACGCATGCGATGTATGTGACAAATCCTTCAGTCAAAGTACCAATTTAACGAAACATCGACACACACATACTGGAGAAAAACCCTACGCATGCGATGTATGTGACAAATCCTTCAGTCAAAGTACCAATTTAACGAAACATCGACACACACATACTGGAGAAAAACCCTACGCATGCGATGTATGTGACAAATCCTTCAGTCAAAGTACCAATTTAACGAAACATCGACACACACATACTGGAGAAAAACCCTACGCATGCGATGTATGTGACAAATCCTTCAGTCAAAGTACCAGTTTAACGAAACATCGACGCACACATACTGGAGAAAAGCCGTACGCATGCGATGTATGTGACAAGTCGTTCGCTGTAAGTTGTGATTTAACGAAACATCAACGTACACACACAGGTGACAAACCCTACGCAGGCGATGTATGTGACAAGTCTTTCAGTCAAAATACCAATTTAACGAAACATCGACACACACATACTGGAGAAAAACCGTACGCATGCGATGTATGTGACAAATCCTTCAGCCAAATTACCAGTTTAACGAAACATCAACGTACACACACTGGTGAAAAACCGTACGCATGCGATGTATGTGACAAGACATTCTCTGTAATTGGCAATTTGGTGGCACACAAGCGGAAGCACAAGGAACACTGATTGGATTTATCAATGGTCTATAATTCAAGGTTTATATAATTTTAACATAATATTACTATGGTACCTATCACTTTCAAAATGTTAATTATGTTATGTAAATTGTTGTATGGTACCTACATTTGTTGTATTCAAAAATAAACACATATTTTTGTATATTTTTCAATGTTCATTTTATATACACATTGTATATTTTGGATTTAAAAAATATTGTCAAGTTAAAATTATATTGGAGCCAATCTCACTG